AAAAGCCACAGGGTTAGTCCTGCCAGAGGCGTCCGGCACACCCACAGCGACCGAAGGGAAAGAGGAACCCTGGAAACATGGAGTAAAAGACACTTTAATTAGGAGTACACCGAGCAATAGCCAGGTCATTCACACTTGACAGCTTCACTGTCCAGTCATACAAAAAGCACTCACCAAGGCCCCAGTTAGGATGGTTCCTGACGCTGACCAGGTGAATACCTCCATTTGCCCCGGGGTGTCAAGAATAACATCCCTGGTAAGAAGTCACCCATTATTGAAGGGAAAAAATACAGGCCAGGCAAGCTTATCCATCAGTAATGAAACATGCCCTTCACAGTGCAGTTGTACCTGTCCTTGGAACTCCACTATGGTCCTGGCACTTCATCTTTGCACTGACAAAGAAAACTGCACTGTTGAAAGAGTGCTGAGATAAAGAAGGATACATTAAGTGGACAAGAGGGACGCGCAAATAAAATAAAACTTTCCGTATACAAAATAACTTTTCCTGTGGAGGGTGATTTCCATTTTTTTTTAATTGACAGCCTGAAAAAGATAAATCTTTCACCAGAAATCATCTGAAAATGCTGTTTTTACAAGCAATAATGGGGCACTAATCAAACCATCAGTCTTCTGCAAACTGCCGAGCCTCTCCTCAGAGTCAAGGGTGCCAAGCTTTGGGGCCAGCCCTGCTGCGGAGCACAGCCACTGGTGGCCCCGGGGCTGCTCAGCATGGCAGGACTGACACTCTGCTCCTGATGAGTTCAGCATCCCCAGACTAGGGAAAAACCAGTCACCACCTTGTCAACTAGACCAGAGCACTGAGTGCCACGTCCAGTCATTCTTGAACACCTCCAGGGATGGTGACTCCACCCCTGCCTGGGCAGACCCTTCCAATGCCTCATCACCCTTTCCATGAAGAAATTATTCCTGATGTACAGTCTGAACCTGCTCTGGTGCAGCTTAAGGCTATGACTTCTCCTATTGCTTGTTACCTGGGAGAAGAGGCTGATCCCCACCTGGCAACAACCTCCTTTCAGATAGAAAACCCACAGATTATTTGCAACTATGTTCTAGAATACTTGTTAGGAACAAGTCACTCAAACACTTCACCGAGTGTGATACTTTCATACCCCTGGCCTGCCGAGTTGCCACAGCAGGAAAAATTGTCCATGACAGAAAAGTATATGCTTTTGAGAAATCACAGATATAGACTCAGCAGTCATGGTTTGTGTTCTTATGACAGAGAGCACTGAGCTCCAAAAAGCTGCAAATTCCTGAGCCCTGCCCAAAAATCACCAGGTGACATGAGGGGTCACAATTCCATTGTCTTGTCTGTTTTCCACAATCCAGCACTTCAGTGACTCCAGAGTCAAACACATCAGGATCAATTCCAGGTCACATGGACTGGGACAAACCAGCTGCTCTGCTGGAAGGGGTAATTCCAGACGCTTATCTCCCATTATTTGGAATTCAGGGCTGCAAAGAGCCCGGCAGTGATCCTGGATTTAATTTACAGATTAAGCCCACCCAACACTCACTGCCAAGTGGTGCTGGAGCACCTCTCCAGGGAAAGATGCCCAGTGCCGAGGGGCTTTAGTGGGGTCCCTGCCCAGTTTCCCAGGATGGATGGGAAGCTACCACGGACAGGCTGGATCTTAGGAGAACTCCATTTGAGTATTCATTCCTGAAAGCTTTTAAAACAGGGGCTTGTTCCCAACTCTAAGGCAGCTGAAATCCTGTGGCTCGCCAGCCTTCCTAATAAAGTGCTGCAGAAGTCAGCCGGGTGTGTCAATCTTCCGGCCCCTGTTGCATCATCGCTCCGCGTCGAAGAGTAGGCGGGAGTCATGGTGCAGCTCGGTGAGTCCCGAGCCCGTGACCGGCCCCTGCGCGGCCCGTGACCGGCCCCTGCGCGGCCCCGGCCCCTGCGCGCGGCCCGTGACCGGCCCCGCGCGGCCCTGACCGGCCCTGCGCGGCCCGTGACCACCTCGCTTTCTTCACAGGGAGCCGCCTCCTGAAAGGCTACCGCGGCGGGCACGTCGTGATCCGTTTCGCCCTCGGAGGCTGCGCCAACCGGCCTTTTTTCCGCATCGTGGCAGCGCACAGCAAGCGCGCCCGCGACGGGAAGTACCTGGAGCAGCTCGGCTGCCTCGACCCACTGCCCAACGTCCACGGCGAGAGGGTGGCGGGGCTCAACCTGGAGCGGCTGCGCTACTGGCTGGGCTGCGGCGCGCAGCTTTCCCGGCCCGCCGAGAAGCTCCTGGGTAGGTCTGGGGCGGGCGCCTGGCAGCGGACGGGGGTGGGGGCCCGGTGCGGCCCCGTCTCACCGCCTCTTATTGGCAGGTCTGGCGGGGTTCCTGCCGCTCCATCCTATGACAGTGACCGGCGCCGAGAGGCTGCGCCAGAGACGACAGCGAGCACAGCAGGTGGGCACTGCCCCTGTGGACGGGCCCTGAGAGACGCCCCGGCCGAGAGGCCCGCCCTGGCCTGAGGAAGCATCCTGCCCTGTCAGTGCATCTGACCACATTAAAGTGTCATTTGCCCACTCTACACTGTGCATCTGCTGCTTTCTCCAGACTCCGCTCTGAATCAAAGTTTATTGTTGCCAAATTTGGTGCACAGAGATAAAAGGGGTTTCACTACTCTAATACACACAGAGAACCATTCAGCATTTTCTAAAGGCATGCCATTTGCCATCTCTCACTCTCCAGCAATAGCATGGCTACTGCCAGTTTCCATTTGCCTGCTCCACTTGTCAGGTGTTTTGACTCCTGGCTCTGATTTACTGTAACAGGACAATCCAGTGGTTCAGGAGAGGCCTGGCACAGATAAATGCAAATGGAAGTGCAGCTGTATTTCTGTTTAATTTCTCCAGAGAGGTTCTGGACCTGTTTACAAGCAAAAGGGAAAGATTTCAGTCTCATTTAAAGAGATGGGGCATGCCTGAAGTTGAGCTATGAGTCTTACTCTTTCATCACATATTTGACCCTCTTCCAAGAGGCAAAACCCCTGCCAAAGTCTCTCTCCTACCTTAGATGCACCTTTTGCTTCTTTAGGGTTTCTTTTAGCACAACTCAGGTGATTCTACAAATGTCAGGCAAAAACAAGTTTCCAGTATTGCATTTCAATAAGCTTGTAGTGTAACCAGCCCAACAGAGGATGAATAGACAAAACACTAAGAAAGGGGCTGGCTTGCTTTTAACAAAATCACAATACTGAGAGAAGGTGGTTTTATTTTTGCTCATGGATTAGATGATTTAAAACCTATTCTTGGAAGTGACGGAAGCTATGAAAAAGTGGTATTGCTTTTCTGATACCTTCCTCTTCTATATATTTGGTATGTTCAGCATCGCATTTTTTATAAAATGGTGACTGCACTCTGGTACAGGGTTTCTAGGAAGTTCCTCTCTAGCTTACTCTAGATTTCCTTTCTTTGCTGCAAAGGTAAAGTTTTGCATCTGCAGTGTTTTTACTATTGTAATCTAAAGGTATCACACAGCTTTTCCTTTCTGGAGCTTTCTGCTTTGAACACAAAGTATATCTGTAATGTTTCTCTTCAGATAGTTTCGTGTTGGCCTGGCTTTTTTCCCTATCAAAAATAATTTTGTTACTAAATAAAGCATCTCACTGCATACACAAGGCAGTAGAACACTTGTTTTCATGTCCTTTCAAATACCACAGTGCGATAGGGCTGCTCTCTAATGCAGCAGGGTGAGTGACTATTGGCATCAGACACTAATGTTGCACAACACAGTAATAACAGTAAATGAAGGAAGTTCTAAAAGGAGAGTCTGGCAGTGCTGAGGTCATGTTTTCCACAGTGACTCCTTTCAGCTTTTCTCTTGCCTTAAGTCCCCTGCTAAGGCATCTGCTGCACTGAGAAACAACATGCAGCTGATCAGGGGGACATAAAGAAAACGGTGTGTTTCTTCTCACCTAACTTGCCCTTCATTGTATATGCAAGTAGTGGGTCTGTTTCTTATGGACCAAATTCATAACTTTTTCAGGATTCATGAACTTTTACCTGTAGGTCAGAAGAATAGTTTGTGCAACAAAGCACAGCCTCTGGGCCACTGTAAGCCCAGCCTGCTGTGGAAGCAGTGGATTTTTCCGCACAAATGCACAGTACTATGCACCAGTACAGGAGAGCTCAAGCTTAAAAGAAATGGTATACTGGGCTTATAAAGCATAATTCTCAGCTGCTGTGATGCTGTCAGCAGAGGAAGGCTGAGAACAAATTACAGTGAACAGTTCTTTAAGCTCGTTGCTTAAAGGGGCCATACATAATAATGTAGCACATAGGGATCGAGGTTCAAGACTAGATCTGTGCTGTAGACACTTCACTAAATACAGCAAGAGTTAGGGCAAAAGGAGAAAATATTTTCCTTTCTTGGTAGGAAGAAGCATTAAACTTATTCAGCTCTATTTTCACTTTCCCCTCTTCCCCAAAGAGTTCTGTGGACAAAAAAAAATCTGCAGTAAATAAAAAATAACTGAAAGGAGTAGGCATAAAGCAGAATCAGAACAGAGTATCATCAAGCAAAACATAGCAAAAGCTAGGCTTAAAGAGAGCTATAGCTGAAGCTTGAAAAGCTTGAATCTCTAGCATAGTAATTGTTCATAGCATTTGACAGCAATACTGTTAAATTCATTGCTTAAGTAGCTCATAAGCTTGGTTAGTACTGTACCTGCACAACTCAAAAAAATCTTCCTTTATGCTGTGATTTCCTCTGTTGACTGTTCCATTGGCTATTGCAACAAGATTTGTTATCCTTTGTTAGAGAAACCTATGCCCGGATCCTAGAAAAAGCAAAATCAAACAAACGAACAAGTTTCCATACAGCTTTTATATGTGGCTAATAATGCATCATGCCCATTGCAGATTGCTCCTCAGTCTGCTGACTGCTACTCAGTGCATATTTTGCTTTTGAATTCATCTGATTAAAGTTACTCATTGCTTGTTTTCTTCCTGCTCCCTGGACTACTACTGTGCTCCACACATGACGCAGCAGTCTGCCCTTTGTTTACCGTTAACACTATTTGGGTATTGGACTATGCTGTTGCCTTTTAGATCTAAAGTAAAACTCCCAGCTCCCACTGTGGGTTGGGGGCATTAGGCAGTAAGCTCCAATCACCAAAAATTCCCATTATTCCATGCATTTATCATTTCTGCATGGGATATAGGAGAGAGTGTGTTGGCAAGGTTTTTAACATAAAGAACTCCTGGAACAGCATAGAACACCATCTTCCCAGAACCTTCAAGTCTGTTAGGAGACAGCATGGACTGCAATACCAAGAAAAACAAGGATTCTACTAAAGGACCTCTAGCCTGTCCCAGCGCTGCTGCCCTACAGCTTTTGCTGTTGTCTTGGGTGTTGCAGCCTGAAATTTGCCAACCTAAATGTAGGCACCTTCCCCTCCACTGACCCTGCTACAGAAGCAGCAGCCTGGGACAAAGGAACAGCCAATGGAAAGTTGCTGCAGCCATTTCTCTAGTGAACATCAACAAAAACCTTCCCTGCAGGAAAGCTAGGCTAAATGAATCATTATGTCTTAACAACCACAGGTACGGAAAATGTCTATTTAGATAAATTAAACAGATGCTGGAGATCTCCCTTGGCATTTTGGTCCCAGTACTCATAGAATTCTCAATGTTTATTGGACTTAATACAATCCATTGGGTGTTATTATGGTAATGGCATCTAAAAGTTTCTCCTCTCCCCTAAGACTGTCCCAGTCTGAGAGAGGGAAAACAAATATTAAGAAAGCTACCTTTTACACAAATTCTTTTTTTAATAAAATAAAGTGTATGTCCTATAGAGTACAAGATGACTAACTACTCATTTGTAGAAAATAAATTGACTAGAAAACTCTTTTGAATAGTTCACAATACAGCTTTTCTTTATATATATAGTCATACAATTTTATTCTATTTGATTCTTGAAAAGACTCATTTTTTCCATTCAAAGACACAGCAGAAGTTCTGAAATTATTAGGTTGTCTTTTTTGAGAGACACAGCAGAAGTCAAGTGAACTGCAGACATATGCTGAAATGCTTACAGCTAGCTTCATTACAAACATGAGACAACTGATAAGGTGTTTTCTCCATCAGTCTCCCCATTTTCCCTGCTTCTGTACATCTGTTATAAATACCTTATGAGCATCCACAAATAATTGCCATCAATCAGCCTTTAATGATATGGACTTATTCAAAATTAACCTTTAGGCATCACTGAAAAACAGCACAGCGTAAAATCATTTTCCTGCCTAAACTCATGCATCTTTTTTCTAATCAGCAATTTGCAGATTTAGACAGAATATGAAGCGTTTGGATTCCAAAAGGTAGACATCACGTTGTAGCTTGCAGTTCAACAGGGATCATATACAGTAATTTCTGTAAAATACAAAATGTATGACGAAGAGAATAAGCAAGTAATACCTTTTTAAAGTTATTTCTATGGATTTGGTGCAACTCTGCATGATAGTGACAGGCCCTGTTTTTTTTCCAGACACCACTAGTATTGCTCAAAGCCCCAAATTAACACACAGTGATGTTGACTTAAAAGTATTATGTATGTAACACTACATCAATACATATGCAAAATAAAGTCCATATCCCATAAAATAGAAAATGTAATATATATTTTATCGGGTAATGCATATAGGCATAGCAATAGTTTTATAACTATATAAACGTAGCTCATAATATTTACAGATGGTAATGGAGACATACATTATCATCAGATACACTGATTTCATCAATTGTATGAACCTTTTGAAGATTTTCACTTGCAACAAAATGATCTGCAACTCCAGCTACCTAGAAAAGGAAGTGCTCACAATTCATTTAGTGCAATAATGCTGGCTACAAAACTTAAGAGGAGAAAACATTTTAAGACCTGATACCACATTAGCTAGTGAGACCAAACAAAGAAATAAAATAATTTTTGAGTTTAAAAGTTTGAGAAGATGAGGAAGAGAAATTAAGGTTACAAGGCAGACCAACAAGAAAGAAAAATTCTCCAAAGTCAAGTCTTTAGATTGTCAAAATCAGAAGTACCAACAACTTCTCATGCTATTTTGTTCCAGCTTTGTCCTGAACGTTTTTGGAGACAGCTGCCCCATAATCAAGGAAATAACACATCACAGATATTCCTGCAGATATGACACTACATAAGCCCAAACAAAGAAATGAAAGATGAATATACTCATCAATCTGATAGTCCTTTATCTCTGAGTGCTTGACTTTGTAATCTCAGTAGTATTCCTCCATTTAAGTCAACACTGAGTAATATGAGACTTGCTTCTAAAATAAATTTTTTAAAAAGTAATACTCAGGAACAGATGATAAAAATGAGGGGTTCTTACAAGTTGTGTATTATGCTTTCAGCATGGGAGTATAGTAAGCCACAACAGCTAACGATTACACTAATTATTTCATCTTGGCATCGTAGATCAAGCATCAGAATAAACTTAGGCGTACAATTAAGTACAACTCATTTAAAAAGAGTGACCCTCCCGTGATAACCCTTATTCAAGACCTAAAGACCAAGTAAGCAGAAATAACCTCTACAGGGATGCCATGCACGTGTAAACACCAGTGTCCCTCAGCCTTGGTAAACATTGGCTGCCTACCCAAATATGGAAGCAGACGGATAGGGATTTTAGAAATAGTTTTAACTTTATTTATGACTTTAAATTAACTCCTGGCCTTAACTAGAACTTGTACAAGTTCTCGCACATTTACCACCTTCTAAAATCAGAATAATTAAAAAATCTTGCAGATAATGAAACCCAAAGCCCTTTTTTTACTAGTTTTACTGAGATATGGAAGATGCAGTTCTAGCTGACAAGCACTTATTCACTGGTCCCCATGCAGATTTTAAAATGTCACAAGGTAAAACTGTATAAACAACAATGATGTGATGAAGGCTTTCATACAAATTATTTTTCTTAAATTCTCAAGTTAGCTCTGAGAGTAAGCTTCTACCCAAGAGAGGCTGATGAAAAAAGACCCTTCTCCCCAAAACTGGATTATGGACAACTGTCCATCCTCCTGCTAAGTCATCACAAACCCCTGTAGTCTTAATTAAAAGTCTAATGTGGAAGGAAATCTGCACATATTGGCAAACATTACCAAGGACCACAGCCAGGACCTAACGAGGAGGGTTTGGGAGCCAGGCCACACCACTTTCAGCCCACAGTGGTTTCTCGTAGCACTTGGTGGGAGCTCTGTATAAGTAGAAGTCCAACCATGGCACTTCACAGAGTACTTACACCACCTAAGCAGGACCAGTTGCTCTCAGCCTTTCCAAAGTCTTAGAAAGCACCCTCCAGAGCCCAGCCTACCATAGGCAGAGGCTGTAGGTTGGACCCGCAGCTCCCAAAAGCCTCACAGGAATCACCACTGCCCTTGGCGATGGAGGATCGGGCTCTGCCTGGCCATGAGATGGCACCTTCTGCCCCCCAGACTGGCAGATCGCTGTTCCCACAGTGGCAGTACTCGCAGTGGCGTGTGCAGCCCAGCCCAGCAGCTCCCTGCCACTCAAGAGACCGAGGTTGCCCTGCTCAGGTACCAGACTTCCGGGCTGGACTGCCTCATGCTGGACAAAACCACTGGTTCCCCTGGGAATGACAGCGCCACGAGGCAGCTGGAGGGAATGGCCCCACCACTTCCTGCTGCTGCTGTACAGGCCTTTGCCACCTCAGGGGAAGGACCAGCAGTGCAGGCACTGCTGACTCACCCCTCACCTTCCCACAGGCAGGGGAAAGCTCAGCAAAGCCAGTGCAGACTTTTCTCGTCATTTGCCATGCCCGCTGCTGCCATCCTAGAGGTGCGCAAGCCTGTTGTGCCACAATAGGAAGGCTGAGGGTGATGCAATGAGGCAGCAGAGGCTGTGGCAGCTTCTCCCATTTATTCATTCTGCGCATGGGGCAAGAGCGGACGCTGCTCCTCAGCAGGTGGAAGCTCCTCGGTGGGCAGTAGCTCGTAGGTGACACAGAGGGAGGAGAAGAGACAGCCCAGGAAGGACACCAGGCTGGCGAAGTACATGGCACTGCTGGCATTGCCCACAGCCGCTGTCAGTGGCCCCATGGCCAGAGCCACCAGGATCTGTGCCAGGAAGTACTGGCAGCTCAGCAAGGAGATGTCAACACCCATCCCGCGCCGCATGCCCTCTGCCTGCGAGCCTATAAACTGCGGGGGACATAGCCACAGTGTAAGGGGGTGTCACAGGAATCCCTCTCCCCTCCCCGGCCCAGGGCTCACCTCACGGCTCTGGTAGTAGTCACAGAGCAGGGAGTAGGGCAACGTGCAGAGCGTGGCGAACAGAATGCCGTAGGTAGCGCACAGTGACAGCACCACATAGACGTTTCTGGAGAGGGTGGCCAGGCCCGTGCCCAGCCCAAAGGCCAAATATGCCACAAAGTACAGCGTCCGTGTGCTGAACCGTTCCTCCAGCTTCTCCAGCATGGCTGCAAGAAAACGGAATGACATTCTGGTTGAACTGCATCCCTCCCCAATACCAGCCAGTCAGTGGACCTGAGGCCCCGTAGTCCAGCAGTTAGGCAGCCACATCTCAGTGGCAACTATTAGGCCTCTGAGTAATCGGTGGCTTGCATGTGAGCACCAAGGGCCCCTTCCAAATCCTGTTGCCCCGATGCAGCCTCGCATGCCTCTCCATGGAGGGCATGGCAGAGCTGAAGCCTAGCAGTGCCCATGTCCCAGAGGGGTATGTGGGAATTGGTGGAGGTGGGGAGGTAGACGTATGGCATACGTGACAAAGTGCTGTGGTGCTGCAAGACACCTGAACACTCTGCTGGGGAAACACAGGCACTGAGTGCTGCTGCACCAGAACTGTGCCTATGGCGGCTGCGTGTATTTCTGGATTCAATGTACATTGAAAATGCCACTTGTGAAAGGAACTACATACTAAGAAAAATGTGTTTTTATTGGATTGCTGACCTCATCTGCTGTCAGTGCAGGCCAAGCTAACGAGCATTATATAGTTATGTTAGCTATAACATAATACAATTACCATGAAAAAGAACACTCCGCTTCAGGACTTGTGCTGGTAGACTATGTGCAACATAAACACTGAGCTACTTGTTGCAGAAACACCACTTTTAAGGAAAGTGTGTATCTTTTCTCACAGCAGTAGTTAAGATGGCTATACCAAGTACCTGAATAGAAAGCAGCACTGAATGCATAGATGCACATTCCCCAGCAGCCCATGGTGACCCCAGCGTTGTACTTCTGATACTCATCTGAGTTGTGAGGTGCTTTTGGATTCCCTTGAAACACTACTTCTCCCATGAAGTCAGTATAGAAGAGTAACATCCCTTCAAACGAAAGCCATCCTGAAAGAAGTGAGAAGTAACCCATCAGGATTTCAGAGTATCTCTTTCCCTTTGTAAGCTTGTATGGATGTTATCAGCTATATTACAAAACACACCTGGAACACAGGTTGTGTAATGTGAGTAATACACAACAGCCACATTTATCTGAGACCACTGTTCCCCGTGCATTATGCTGCAATGTTTGTTAAAGACATTCAGGATTTTAAAGACCAAGATTTACCATTTGAATTCCAAAGTGGAATGCTAGAGGCTGAATAAAGGCCACAACATACTGGTTTAGCAAGACAGAAAAATAGATGACGACAGTCTGAGCTGCCTTCAGGACAGGACACAACTTCAGCTGACAGGACACAACGCTCCGTTTAACAGAGTGGTTTATCCCATAGTAATTTCAGGTTGCTGTTATTCTCCCACATAGAACTGGAAGGAGGGCCTCATGTCATGGTTGCAGCCTCCAGAGTGCCTCTGATACAGTCAAAAACTCTACTTACAAATTGGTATCGAGGCCATTAATGCAGACAATCTCTTAATTCCTTTCATAGCCAATGAGTATTAACTACCTGGCACCTTCTGTCCAATTTTGTATACATTGGATTGATTGCAAGCCCTTCCTAATCATCAGTCACACACTGGTTAAGAGTAAAGGTAACATTACTGGTTATAGGCACTTCTGCAGTGCTGTGTTTCACACCTCCTCGTGGCCTGTTCTGGGACCCCAAAACACATGCTGTCAAAGGGAGGAAAGCAAACACTAGTCTCAGGTGTAAGCAGGGAAATGCAACTAATCTTGGCTTTCTGTTTGATGTAAACATTCTACTTAACAGAGGCACTGATTTAGGCCATTGTTATTCCCTTTCTAGGAACAAGGCTTTACTGTTTTGTTAGGGTGTTTTGGTATTTTTTTTCCTTTCTCCTTTCTCACTGTTCTAAGAAACTAAGTATCAGAAGATACCTTATTGGTAACTGTATATAGAACAAATCAAATCCTCCCTAGTTAGCAGCCATGGCAGCAACAGGTAAAATATTGAAAAAGATTCACCCGAGGTAGTGCAGAGCTACTTCCCTGTGAAGTAGAAGACGGCACTTTCTGAATACCTAAGAAGTGGTTGATGCAGAGGTTACGAAGAGCCCTGGGCATCTGGCAGATGGTCGAACAAAGCAGTTTCACAGAGAGTGGTTGCTCAGAGGTCTCGTCTGATTCATTCAGCTCGCTCTCATACTTAACACCATTCAGCAAGATATTAGCAACCTGCACCATAAGAACTCCCAGGTCAACAAGCACAGCAAGAAAAACCTTTAAGCAAATGTATGCAGTATTGCACACCTATCTGATCATCTGAAAGATAAACTCTGCTGCTGGAGTATGTTGACTCAGAGATTAAGTGTATTAGGCTAAACCGTAAATTCAGCCTTGGAACAAGTGTTCAATGGCAGCACTACCCTGCAGCTTTCAGTATACTCGAAACAGTACTCTTCACTTCACTAGGATACTTGGCGACCACATCCAGATTCTAGTATAAGGAATGGATAAATTCTACTGCATTTTATAGGCGTTGTACCCACATTCAGGTGAATTTGCATCCTGAAGTTATAGAGACACTGAGGAAGAAGAAGCTGGTTTTAATCGAAACACATTCTCGTTGCTTGCTAACCTTGATGCTCAACCTCTACGTGCACAGTAAGTAAAATCCTGGCCCTAAAAAAGTCTGATCTCACAAATCGGGTCAAAGTACAGCAACAGCAACAACAAACAAAACAAACAAGAAAACAGCACCCCCCAAAAAAAACCTCCAACCAAATCCCATAACCAAACCAAAAAGTAACAGAGGACAGTTTACCTCATCCCAGATCATAAAAAAAGATACGCCATACAAAGGTCTCAGATATTCCAAGTTATCACCAACAGGGGAAGGAGAGGTCAGTCTTATCCCTCAGTAAGGGAAACCTCATCTCCCTGATGGAACCAGATGTAATGACTGCCATAAGGGGAAGCTCATGGGAGAGTCCTATCCCTGGCCCTATCTTGCAGGTCTTTCTGTGGAAAGGGAAGGTATAGGCTTAATAAAAATGTGTCCTTTTCTGCTCTCATGTGGTAGCTCCCTTGGTGGTAAAGCAGGGATCAGAAACCCCAACCTAACTCTCACACATGACCCGATAAGAGTGGGACATTCCCATTTCTGCCATCTTAACAAAGGCAGCTGACAGACTGCCAGTCATAATTCACATTCTACCCACTATTTTACTGACAGAGTCATAGCAGGTGTGCTGTTTCCATAATGACTTATATGAGCAAGCTGTTACGAGCAGTCTTTAATGAATAATTTGTGAACCACATGTTTAAAATTATATGAAGAGATTAATTATGCTCATGTTTACATGGTCGTATCATTGATTTCCTGCTCTTACCTGTTGGCTGAAGGTTACATTTCTTCTTCTGTTACTCTCTGGGCAGTGTCCTGTTATGGTATTTGGAATGGCCAAGGTCTGAGGTCTTTTCAAGATCCCTGATGACCGTGGCTTTATTGCATCCAGTGAGCCCACTCTTAGCGCGTCACCGTCAGATGTTATGCTGCTCTCCCCTTGCTCCAGAACTCCATTTTCTCCTTGGTAACGGCCATCAGGCACCTGAGGAAAGCTAACACTGACAGGCTGCCTGGCCAAACTAGCTGGAAGTGCTACATAACTATTGTGCCCATCTGTAAAACAGTCTATAAGCACACTGTCAATATTTGAAGTCCCAAATGATGATGCAAACTCATTAATTCCCGTCAAAGAATTGTCTCTGCTGACAAAACTCCCGTATTTTGGTGTGAGCGGGCTGATGGGGGAAACGGGACTCGTAAAACTTGCATGTAAGTGAGCTGAGTTATGAGAAGTAAAGTTTTCATTTACACCCTCCTCAAAGAAGAAAGGTGGAGAAGGAGGGAGAGGAAGACTTGGACTCTTCATCACCTTTTTCTTCCTGCTAAAGGACCTTAAGGGTCTTTCTGGAATGCTAATTAGAGTCAGCACGGTAGCAATAGTCAGTATAACTGAGGTGAAGACATAGATGACGCGAAGTTGCCCTCCTACAGCTTTTCCAAAACTGGTTTTATCCCAGTGTATTCCTCCAACAACATAACCAAAGCCACCTCCAAGACCTGGTGGAAAAACAGAGCCAAGATTATCTTCCCTATGCAATCCCACAAGTCAGTAGCAGCACAGCATCATTTGTCTAATGATTCATGAGCAGAATCCAACGTGTTATTTCTGTTTTACCATTCAACCCCTTTTCTCTTCAAATGTAGTAATAAACACAGTTACCTGTGCCACAAGGACAGTCTGGAGTACCAACACGGTACAAAAAGAGGGAGAAAGTGCTGTAAAAGCGATGATACAAATAACTAAAAATAATACTTCTTTCTTTGCCAAGAACAAAACACCTTACCTTCAGCTATTTCAGTCCGTAAACAGAAGTGTCCACCAGCCTTATGACAAGGCTCTGCAATCATTCAGCTAAGACTGTTTTCCTGAAAGTGAAAATCCATTTTCCTCACTCAGTTAGAGGAACGCAGATCTAACTGCATCCAAGACAGATCGAATCACTTCAGAAGTGTAGCAAGCTCATTAGTCAGCAATGTGTTGACAGCGTACAAAACTGCCACGGCATCACTACTGATGAACGTGGGAGTTGTGAGAGCACCAGGTACCTCTCTCACTCCATTTGCATGGTGAGAGCCTTACAACACTATCCTTTCTTACTTATGAACACATTCAAGAGTGTGAAATAGTTTCCTAGAACAGGGCAGTACTACAACTGAAGATGACAGCAGCAGTGAGGGATCACAGCACCCAGTATACACTTTCTCCTCCAACAGAGCAACTAAGACACATATTCCACACCCATAGGAAGCTAAACCTCCTCCCTCAAAGGACAATTTTGTTTTCATAGGAGTTATAAATTATATGAGGGACCTTCAGATGAACAAACCAGTCTTGTTTGACTTGCAGTAGTTACAAAAGCCTTTTGCAGTAAGAAGGTTTTTTTCAAAGTTAATTAGTGCTATTTCCTCCATATTTGGTCATTATGCTTATACAGGAACAGTCCAGTGATTTTGACTCTGCTTTCTCACAGCAGAGTTTGTTTACTTAGGGTTAACATCACCCAGGAAGTACCAAGGAAGCATACCTGCTAACAAAGCGTGGATGTTGAGGCCCCTGTCTTGATCCACTGGGCTGCATACATCCATCATGTAGGCATGACTGGGATTGTCTGCTGAATCTGCACTGAAGTCCATGAGGACAACACCACAGACCGTAAGAATGATCCCCCATTTGTGGTTATTCTCAGTGTCAGACAAGGCACTCCCTATATCTTTGCCATTCAGCATAAGTGAGAGGCCAAGCAATGCCCCTGGGAATAAAACCAAATCAAAATCAGTCACTGCTTGTATGCAAAAGAAGCCTACAGAGCTCCAGGCTCCAAAGACATTATACTACCTGCACAGCTTTGTGGCAAGCACTAATTGCTCTTTTTCAGATCAACACAGCCTGGGGAATGAGCATGGCTTATAGGATACACATAATCTTTTTCCACTATTTGAGCTTAACAAATGTCTGGAGTTTGTTTTGGCCAAAAACCCCCACATTCTTGACCCTCAGAAACACCATCCCTTCAGACTCTGAGAAGCTTTTATGTATGGATCTCCAGCAGCCAAAGCATAACCTTGGTGTCACTCACCACCTTCTTCAGACCCACAGTTCCCCACACCTCAGGAGGTAGTGCCACAGTGGATGTCACAGAAGAGAGATGCACAATGTCTACAAGTGTTATGCCCATAGTTTCTAAAAGACACACCTACTGCTAAGACCAGAATGAAAGGTCTTCTTCTCCCGTATCTTGATGTGCATCTGTCACTCCAGGCTCCCAGCAAAGGCTGTAGCAAAAATCCTAGAAAAAAGGAATCACCAATAAACAGGATTTTTCTACAAGCCTGTTTCAGAGAGGTCTTAAAAGGCAGTTAAAGGCAGGACACCATAGCATAGTGGTATGTCCGGTCAGCACCAGTCATCTAGGGTCACACACAGCATCTTGCCTGGCATTTCCCTGAACAGGGACCGAATAACGTAATTTTCTGCTGCTCACTGACATTGCAGTTCACTCTGCATCAATAATAAGGAGTTTGACACCAGGTGAAGAGTTAGAGTACAACAGTTACACATTCTCAAGCATTCTGTTCCTTATAAGCTATTTCATTTATCCCACGTCAGATGGGAGATCCCCTGCAGGATTAGCTTGGAAGACAGCAAGCAAATTCATAAGTAGGAAAGGTGAGTGTATTAATCTGGGCCAGCCTGTTAGTAGGGGCCTATTTCTTCTTATGAAGCATATCATGAGTACAAAAGCAGTGATGGATACAGTCCCAGTCCTGCCTCTGTGCTAAGGCATGTAATCCAATGCCTGTAACAGCAGCGGTCAATGGTCTTTCTTCATTGGAACAGCCTATTTGTTTCAGAAAGTTAAACAGGAGAAGGCAACCCAACTCTGCTTTTTCTCACACACCCTTGGGAGCTGTCTCTGTATGCTTTTTTCATAGGGACATAAATGGATATACTGATCCTGTTTTGCTATTTTTTAAATACAGGAACAGAGCAACCAAAGCTTACCCTCGCAAAAGGTTTATGAGGTTGAGAAGCTATTAAAAAAACAGATCTTTTGAGCACACTTGGCCTATTTCAGGCAAGACGCAGCAAGAATAATTCTCCGATTTGGTTGCGTAAAATTATGGCTAGTGCTTCTTAACCTCAACGGAATATACTTAGGAACAGATGAGGTAGAGAAAACAAACAAAAAAACATAACTACCATGCAGTGGAAAAAATAAGAGGGAAGAAATAGTGTAAAGCAAAGTTACCTAATATAGGGCTGATGAACCATACCATTCCATACAGTTGGTCTGGAAGCCCCATCTGAAGCAGCACAGGGGTAACATAAGCTGTTTCCATGGCATAGCTGAATTCAAGCCCAAAGAGAATGCACCCATTGAACAGGAGTTCCAAGAAAGTCCTCTGAGGCTGGAGATCCCCAAAGTCAATCAAATCAATAGGACATGGAGTATTTGGTGGTGGTGGTGGCGAAGGGCGGATATGTTTTCTTCTTTTTGGATGTCTCTTGAAGTTGTTGGCCCGATGACTTATGTGCCGTGTGACCAATCCAGAATAGCCTGGAACTGGTGACCTCCACACTTCCTGAGAAGCCACACTTGGCAAGAGTGCAGCATCACTGACAGGGCTGGTTGCAGATGGTGGAATCATCACGGGTAAGGGTCTGGAAGACAAATAGAACACAATGGTTGAGTAAGAAAAACTTGCTTAATTTCTTTTACTGAAGTTCAAGACATTTCTCAATGTTTCACATATGGAGTGTGGCCTTCGTATTATTTACAACCTCTTCTTTCCATCTCTCAACACAAGGTGTTTTACGAGCACGTCTCCTCCATCTTTGCACAAATAAGACACCAGAGATACTATCTTGGTTATCTAGGTATTGCCTACCATCACGGTAGACTGAAATATTTATTAACAATTAACAGTTAGACATGTCACACTTCCCAGAAGTTTCCATAATAGCAGTGAGTTTTCATTTATCTAGAATTCACTTGAGTTAAATTCACTCAAGCTAAAAAGATAAATCTCAACCTCAGTCTAAGTTTACAATAAAGCAAAGCTGTGGCTTGGCAGCAGATCCAGACCCCTGCTGCAACATGAAATCCCTTTGGTATAAAACCCTTTCAGTACTGATCCTACCAGTCCTGCTGCCTATGCTGAGGCCAAGGTTTAACACAAAACTTTTTTGCAATGTCCAGTTTCGGTTTTCCTCCTGTTTACATTTCTGAATTCAACAGAGATATCTCTGTTGCAAGGACAGTATCTGATCCTTAGGAACTGAATTTTCAAACTAATTAATGAGAAGCAAATACATACCCCATAAGCCACCTCAGCACTGCTATTCCTCTTTCAGTGATTGATGGCGCCATACTGAGGACCCCTGGTGGTCTAGTGGTTAGGATGCGGTGCTCTCACCGCTGCGGCCCGGGTTCGATTCCCGGTCGGGGAACTCCTCTGGGTAGATGGAACTCGTCAGCCCTGTAAGGCCATCCATCTAAGAGAAGGTCACTCTAAACAAACCTACGTCCTGAGGACCTCATTGCCACCGTCCAAGCTCGGTCGGCCTCGGCAGATGAACCTTAGGATTAAAGGGTGGGCTCAGTTCAGCGCACACTGTGTCTCACCCAAAAAAAAAAAAAAATCCATTGCGCAGGCTCGAAGGGTAAAGACCTTTCCCAACCCAAATCTTCGTTCGCAAAGACTGGCCATGATTGATGGCATGCTGGACAGACTCCTTAGATCTCATCAGAGTCACTCCTATAGCTAAAGTGTGCACAGTGTGGTGGGTAAAACAGCCAAACGGTTTCCAAAATAGCATCAGATAGATGCCAACAGATCTGCTGCCTAAACAAATCACATGTGATTTCTTGCCTCTTTTTGCCAGAAATGGAAACAGTTTATTTTCTTTTCTTTATGCTTCCTTGTTCAAGGATCAAAGGCTGCTGCTGCAAAAGGATGGCTCCACATCACCCCATACTTCTTCAGGAAAATCCTCACAGCTGGACTCTAGTAAGCAAAACAAGTCTCTTTACTTTTTTGATTACAGTCCCCCGGGGGAAAAAACTCCCAGCTGTTCTACTACTTTGGCTGTAAAGAACTCCCACAAATCTCACGTTTTCTGCTTCTTCCTCTGGTGCATTTCACACACTGGTCTTTTTTCCTGTAGCCCTGAGTCTAGACAAAGCCACTCTTTGTTGCATATCCCCAACTATCCTCAAAAGTAGAACCCCGTAAGCCCATGTTTACCATCACACTGATGCAACAGTTTTTAAGGGTGGCGGATGATGCCCTACACAGACCAATCCCCAGCTGCATGCAGGCATCCAGAGACACATTGCACAATACAAAACATTGCACAATACAAAACTAAATGCCAGGCATCTCACAGAAGATTGCAGTTGGGGTAACTTGAGTGCATTTGGGGCCTGAGGAGAAGAAGGAAGGATGAGAGTGAAAAGATATCTATTCAAATATTGTTAACACTGTATCAAGGGTTTCCTCAAGACTGCTCTTCAGACCAAGATGCATATCACGTAAGAGAGAAGAATAGGCAGTTCATAACTGCAACTACACACCTTGACAACACCCATCTCACACAGCACTAACAGCAAGCTGCATCTTGCTGGGAAAGCTCATTAACCACAAAGTCCCCTATACAGACCAACTGAAGAAGCATATGGAGACTTCATGAAGATGTCTGCACCAGCATTCCCCTTGACACTGTTTCTGCCACTTACCATAAACTTCTTATGACTCATGTCTCTCACGGAGTACTTACTTTGCAGGAGTACCTTTATCAGCTTTCAGGGCAAAGTAACTTCGTCACAGTGAGAATTTGTTAAAAATGAGGAGAGAGATACCTAAAAAAAGACATAACAAAACCCTAATCAGATTCACGACAGTTGCTCTAACAACCCTTTCACAGAGACATGACAACGCAGCTGTGTTAGCAGCCCCCTTCATCACTATTATACCTTGCCATTTGCACACAGGTATTATCTCCTTATACTCATCTATTATTTTCACTTCATGCTAGGTCTTCCTTTATCTTCCTTTGTGTCAGCCGAGAACGAGCCGTGCTGCGCAACCGCCGCGCGGGCGTGGCCGCCGCCCCTCACAGCCCCAGGCCTTTCGTCCGCCCCGAGCCGCCTGCGGGCGGAACCCCGCGCCCACCGCACCCGCCGCTCCGCTCCCCGCCCCGCCCCGCGGCGGCCTCACCTCCGGCGGCATCCGGCGCTCGGCCCGGCCCGTACTGCGCCGCGGGCCCGGCCCTGCGGACGCCGTCCCGCCCCCCGCGCCGTGCCCCGCGATTCGCCGGCGGGAGCGGCGGGAGGGCCGAGCCGGCGCTGCCCCTGCGCGCGGCTCCCCCTCACGTTCCGGCCCCGGGCCCGCCCCCATTCCATGGGCCCGCCCGAAGGAGCCCTCGTGGCCAAGGCAGCGCTCAGCAGGCACCAGGGTAGGGAAGTCGACTCCACGTCAAACCATCCACTGCCGCACTGCCTGCACCGTTCTCTGCAGCGATGCTGCCCAAGACAGGTGCGTGCTGCCGGACCCTCATCTCCACATTGGCACTGCAAGCACTGCGGAAGTGGATCGTGATGGGAAGACTTTTAGGCGATGCAGAGATATTTTTCGATAGGCCTGTAGAGCAGATGCCGCAGAAGATGCTGCACTTTTCTCTCTTCTGTTTCAGAGTCTTCCCCTTCCTAGGGTAAAGGAATTCAGCAATTTTGTTTTATAGGGCCATATTTTGTGCTCATGTTTCAGATTTCCTCGTGGTTTGCAAAGATGTCATTGTGTAGTGCAGTCTGCTCCATTTTTAAAATACTTCAAATTTGGAGCCGTAATCATTAAGCATCCTTAGCTGCCCGAATCCTTAGTATATGTTAGTATTTATTTATCATAGAATTTATTGTAGTAGAAAGATGGCATTTTTGCTGCCTGCCAAAACAATCAGACAAATGAGGCAAGAGACAGCAGTTGCTGGGAGGAGCCATTACCATTAGCAGTACTTGTAGTAACATCAGCTACTGCTCACCCCCAGCTTGTGGTGCTCAGGGACAACTGGATGGGCTGAGACTATGGCTGTCACACCACCCACAGTTGTTAACTGCCTTCTTTGATAAAGACCCAGAGTCAGCCATCCCTTCAGTGACCACAAGCAACAACACAGCACAACAGCCCACGCTCCCGCCAGCCTCAGTCCAACCACCACCCCGTGTCAGAGAGCTCTGCAAACACTGGGAAAATGAACACAGCACTTGAGAGTTCCATTCCTTGACATCAAGGATGACTTTTTGTTCCACCTGGGCATGGAGAGCGGGTTACATTATTAATGCTGGCAGGCAGTCATGGCCATTTTATACAATGATTTTTCCCCATAAACATATTTGAGACATTAAACTCATGTTTATTCCATGGTCAATTAAATAAAAATGTCTGCTCAAAACTTACAAAGATGACCTCTTACACCATTTAGCACAGTTTGTCCACTTGGGAACAGTGGGACAAGTAACTCTGGTCCTTCCCAGGGTAACGACAAAGGAGAGAACAAAAGCAGTTCCTGCGGTGTATTCATTTATTAGCATCCTTTGGGCCTTAGACAAAACAGAAACCACAAATCTCCTCTCCTCTGTGAGTTTGCACATAAATTGCTGTTGAAATGTAAACTTATTCATTTATTTCATACTAATTTAACCCAACAGTGTTCAAAAGAGCAGGTTTTGGTGATGAATACCTACTGCTATGAATCTGTGCTGTTCCCTCCTACCTTCTCTGCGTGCAAGATCTTTTGCATTCACTAAACACTTTTGTTAAGTCTGTCCACAAAGCAGCTTTTGACAGTGTATTCATTTCTGCTTATTTACAGCCTGACGTTAGGCTCACTGTTTCATTTGCCAGCAGGCCTCATTATTTGCCCTGCTCAGATCAGACCATTCCTATGTTTCTTGGAAACCTCTCTTACTATCCTCATAATCCTTTTCTCAGAAGTAAACATTAGCTCCAGTCGAGTGAAATTCTGTGCAAGACACTAACAGAGATGGCTGTGTGATGTTGGGTGTTTCTTTTCCCTGTTTTGTCTTAAAATTAATTTAAAACATCTTTCAGTTCAGTTCAGTGGATCCACAATGTTGTTCAGTGGATCTACAATAACATTCAGTGATCCACCTGGAACTGGCAGCTTCTTTTCCAAACATGACTTGATTTTTTGAGGGGGAGAGATACAAAGTCTGTACCAAACAGACTCACTGTGAAAGTTTTTTGGTGCTTGAGGGTTGCTGCTTCAGAACACCCAAAGGCCATATGAGTGCTGGAGCAAAGATTAACCTACGCTCAATGACAGAATGATGAGTTACCAAGTTTTAATGTCTGCAGAGGGACCTGCGCACACACTCTTCAAGTTCTCCTCCATTTCCTACAGCACAGCATGCTCTTATACAAGCAAAGTTATCAAGGAAAGACTAGGCCCGTAAAGATCACACCTGACCCCTCAGAAACTCTGCTTTCCACAAAATTTATGATATCAGTTGAAGAAGAATTTATATTTCTGTAAATTCCCAGTCATGCCAATGAGGCCTATGGTATTGAACACAGTGAAAATACAGTGTAAGACAGAAAAAAAGAAGCAAGTTCAAACTAGGTGAGTTGCATTTTAATTATGTGTTCTTAATGCTTATATGGTAAGATGAGCTTACCACATAAATTACACCACCCTAGAATCCCTTACAAGCTAACTGAGTAGGCGTAAAGAAGTTGGTGGGTGGCTAATACAATGTAAGAACATAAAGAAATCTTATATATGCCAGTCTGCACACCACCTCCATATCTGGCCCTCAGCATATTGTCATATGACTTTAATAGCCCAGATAAATCAGTTCCTGAACCGAACTCCTACACTGGCTATATTAATGGATGAAATTAAATATTTAAAAGGGCACTTGAATTTTTACTTAGAAAAAGGAAAAACAAAACCAAGAAACTCACACTAGAAGCATCACCAGAAATAAAAAACAGCATTTTGCTGCAGAATGAAAAGCAGTGCTAACAGCACTGATCCATTTGCATTAAAATTGAGTTGTTAATTCATTGAGAAAATAAATTCAACACAGCAAACTACAATAGAAGATAAGAACATGAATTTTCAATATTCAGGAAAATTTCACTAACATCACACTTCGCCTAAACCATTCAAGTATGGTGCAGTGACAGCCCAATAGCTTTTCCTCCACTAGTTTGTACTGAAGTGACTCATGTTTCAGTTCAGATGTGCTATTTCCACGATAGCAATATGTGCGCACTCAGTCGTTTGCTGTCCAAGGCTTTGTGCAATGACTGCTCAATAAGCGTTTGCTTCTGCAAGACAAACTAGTGCTGGCCTCAAATAATAAGAGGGCATTTACCCAGCTCCTGCCCTCACCGTTCAACCACCCTTCAGTGGCAGGTCTCTCACCAATGAGAACCCAACACAGTTCAAAGAATTAGTCACTAGAGGGCACTTAGAGAATTCAGAAGATTGAGAATGTGCTTGGGATCAGAAGGCCACAGTCCTACAGTTCTAAGAGTCCAAATGATGAAATTTGCATTTACTTCCAAGCTCCTGCGACCAATACTTTAAGATACAGAACCAGAAAAGTAATTATATTTCAGAAGATGATCTTTATCATCTTTTGGGTTTTACCCATCACCTGAATGAAAGAAGGCTGAGGAAAAACTCTCCTCTGAGGCAATACACAGACCAGGCTACATTGGCCATGCATTTCTGGACAAATGCTGACAAAAGTGTTAACTGCAGGCATGTAAGATATGTACCATGCAAGATATTGGTGCTAAGTGTCGCTGTTGGGTGCAGCTTTGGGGAAAGAGGTACAGACAAACAAAACAGTGTGGCAAACTCACTGAAATAAATTATTTCATTTCACTGCAATGCCTGAAATTGATTATACATTTCACAAGAGTCAAAGATGTGATTATGCCCCAAAGATTTTATTCTGGATGTCATAAACAACAGAAAGGTGATAAGCAGTATGTCAGGAAAGCAGGAGCAAGAATCCTGGATGCAGGATCTTCCAGTCACCCATAGCAGGCACAGGCTGCATATATTTTAGCTCTAAACTAAATTCTCATTTAAAGACGGAGCATAAATAGAGACTACTCTAATCCCTTCTATGTTACCTAAACAGCTCAATTCCTTGCTTCTTGTATTAACTGTGAGCTGCAGCTTTAATCCAGTATGTCCTGTATTTAGTAAGATTAAAATTTTCTTGGCTATCAGCTGTCTTATTTCTGCGATTCAGCATACACTTCTGATCTTCTACTGGAGAAGGAAAGCAGAACTAATGTGATCAATGAGTTCTGGAAAACCTTGATTCACTGCCAAGTGCAGGGCAGCACAAGGAAGGGCCAGGCCACTGCTGTACCCAGGGCTGACAGGAAGAGGTGGTCGGATGAGGCACCATGCAGAGGGCAGGTCGCAGCACGTGGCTGCAGGCAGAGCATGGTGAACAGTGAGCCTGGCAGGTCTGTCACACACCGTCGCCCTTGACAAAGGATGCCCAAGCATTGCTGCACTGGGCTGTTCTCCACTAGCTGCACTGGCGGGGGCTTGGGCTGGCTCAGTGCCTGGACAGAGATGGGGTACCCAGAGCTCACAAAAGCAAAGCAGCCTGGCACTGGTATGTGATGGACACTCCAGGAAGACCAGAGGTGCGCCTGCATCCTGCTAAGCAGTCGTTAAAACTGTGGTTTATAAATAGGCTCTGTATCTTGTCTAAATTGACTTTGGAAATACTGCCCCACTTCCCCGTGTTTGCCACTGGGGAAATGAGAAACCACTGGGTCCCTGGGGCTAATTACTTTCTTCAAAACCCAGCATTGCTCTATGTTTCTGGCTCAGCTCAGCATTCAATTTTCTGCTGAGATTGTATCTATATTGCATTACAGGATGAGTTGCAATAGCACTTGATGTTAATTGCAGTGCACAGACTGCTCCCTTCTCTCCTTTATACCAGTTATCAAGAAAAACCAGAAAGTCCACTTGTGCTGTTTTTAATTTAGCCTCTTCCATCCATACAGAGTGCCTGTCAGACAGGAGAGGCAGGGGCTGTCATCCTCTTTCTACCTGAAAATATCAAACAACAAGGTATAGACTACTACATACCATCCCAAACAATCAGTTACCTTATGGAGACAGATAGATGTTGGGATGCATTACAGCCACGCAGTGTAAACAAATAGAGACAGGTGCTGTAATATTCCTGGATGGCCCCAAAGCCAGACAGCCTTCCTTGCCTCTTGCATCCACTGAAGGCAGAGAAAAGAGCAGATATGAAGAAACAGAAAAAGGACACCCCAGGCTGCTCTCAAAGCTTGGCAGTCTCTTCCAGGGCCTCTGTCTGTCTAAAACACCAAAGCAACCCTGAAAAGCACTGGAGTACAGACCGTAGAAACAAGCAGGGGCAGTGTATTCTGACTTGACAAACGTATATAGTTCAGCAAATTCTCCTGTGGGAACTAAATTTGAGAACATTTCCTGGGTGGTGAGTACAAAATTTCCTGAAGCATGGTCATATCAAGGGATAACAGGCTTCAGCATCTTATCCTTATTTTGTTTCCCTCCTAAATGCCCATCTCTGACAGTGCATTCCAGCACTCGCCATTTATCAGATAAATGTTTGTTTCTGGCAAGTCACTTGATAGGCTGTCATTTCCCACTCCCAGCAGGATTTCTGTCACTTTCAAGTGTTAACCAGCATTGGTAGTTACCACTTGCTTGGCATCATATGTGCACAGAGTAACAATAACGACTTGTATCATGTGCCACACTTCCTATACATTGTGTGAATAGCATTTGAAGAAAATTGATGAATTGATCTACTGGAAAGCAATGCCTCTGGGACTAGTATTGAGGGTTTTGGAGATCTTTTAGTGAGATCCTCTAAGCCCAGACTCCTACCAAAATAACAGGAAGACAGCTATACTAGACCAGATAGCAGGGCTGTTTCCATCAGAGGGTATTAGTGGACACTTGGTTGCTGCTATTCACAAGCCTGCTTTTTCCTTCTACTGGTCTAAATAGCCTATTCACCTTGGCATTCCATTTGCTGCATGTTTTCAGGTGAGTCAAAGTGCTGTAAGTATCTTCTCTCTTCTGATTTCTTACCCTTTAGTTAAAGATTCTTTCCCTGTTTGGCAGACCATTGTTTTCTACTCTTTCCCCATCCATCCAACTTGCATCATGATGTTTCCAACCTGGAGTTGCTCTGAGCTTTGCCTGCATTGTCTTAGGAAAGAGGGGAAAGGGAAAAAAAAAAAAAAGAAAAGGAAAAAAAAAAGAAAAAAAGGAGAGGAACAGAACATTCTGTGAAATAAACATTTGCTAATGCTCTTGAGCAAGAGAAATGGGACAGGTAGCAAAGTTACCCAGATTAACTATCTGCTACAGCAAATACACAAAGTTATGCAAATGTTCCCTGTATACTGTTTGGGTAGCATTTCTGCATTGAGCCTGATATACTGATCTATTGATTGATCCCTCCAACAAGAGCCACGACCTTTGTATACAAAATTGGAGGTCAGACCTCAAAGTAAGCCAAGTCTCCTCATTGATGAGGACTTTGAAACATCTGCTGCATCACTGAACATTATATTATTGCTTTCCTTTAGCCAAGAAGCAAGTGGAAAGGAAGACATTAAAGTGGCACTTACTGACCATTCTGGAGCAGAGGGGGACTGACTGGAGACCTGTGAATGGAATTCTTGTGCATCAACAGACCATAGCAGAGGGGTTTGGTTCCAATGAAAATGAATTAATGGCCTGTAGGCAGGTACACTTTGATGGGTATTGTAACTAATTTTTTAGGCTTAATGAGAAAGTAATTACTTCTGCTGCAGAAGCAGTGTACTGCAGGCACCTGGATCTCAAGAAATTAATTGTATCATAGCATTCAGAGAAATCAAATAACATGCAGTTACCAGAGAAATCTGTATTTGTAATGGATTGGCTACTGCGTAGGAAGGGCCTGGCTCTGAAAAAAATGCATTTGACAAACAATTCCATTCTGAACAGTTCTTGCCCTGCACTCTACATTGGAGTGCCCGCTTCTGCATACCCAAAAATTCACCACTACTGATCCAATCCACAGCCAGGAAGTCTGACTCACTCACCTATCTCTTCCTCTGAATAGGTACTGACACTTGCCCTCTTTGCCTTACAGCTTGAAAGTGACTTAAAGCACTTTCTAAATAGTGGCTTTCCCAGACTCCTATTGCTATATTACACTGATCCCAGGCTACACTGCAAGAAAAAGTACTACATGGACAGATACTCAGAGTTTGGATAAAATAATTGGCATCCACTGTGCTTCCTTTGGTACTTAATATTAAACAATATCAGTAAATACACTTTCTACATGTGTTTTTTAAGGCATTATGCCTTCTGAGGTAAATCATTACTGTATGCCCTGATGTGAAATATGATCCTAATCTGCACATTATTTATCTGTGCATTACCTGGGTCTAATTTAGTCCCTTCCCTGTCTCTCTCTCTCATCTGTATTTCTGTAACACCGGTTTTACTAACAATCCTCTCTGGAGACAGGAAATAAATTTTTATTCATGAAACCAGCACAAGCAAAGACCAGGAAAACACATAAGAATAAATGAGAATTCTTCAGGGCACAGAACCTTAAAGATAATCAAAGAGGCAAAAAGGTGAGCGGGGAGGAGGGTCATTATTGTAGCAAACTACACATAATCTAATCATGCCTTCTTTCATAAGGTGAGTTGCACCAGAACACAAAATAAAGCTACAGCAGTCAAGTTCATAAAATCTCCCTCTGCTGCCCATGTCAAATCTTGAGTGCTCCTGTACAATTAATGAAATCATGTTAGATTATTTATCTATATAATTTCTCATTTATAAGTTAGATGGGGCAAAAATTTCTATTAAAAAAAAATTTAAAATGCTTAGGAAGATAGGAGAGTCTATCACTAGAGATTTTTAAGTTCATCTTCCAGGATGCTTGAGAGCATGTTAGTGTTATTAGATCCTGCCTTGGGCCAAGGAGATGACATAGAGAAACTCTGTGATCTTGCAAGGTCTTTTCTAGCTATTTCTGGAACCATCCAATGAAAATGTCCTGGAAAAGCAGCAAACTAAAACTTGGTAGAAGAGACACTTCTGGTTTATGTTCAGCTCTGGAACAAAAAAAAAAGCCAAAAGAGGCTTGAAAAGTCTACATCTAGCAAAGTAACAAAACAAAAGAATTTACAATTGAAGTCAAAGACAGTGAATGCTAAAGGGAAAAACATCCTCTGCTACATGATCCCTATTTAAGGTCTTCTCATGAACACTGTCATTAAATCCCTACCCATATTATAATTTTAAACAACTCCTTCAAACTCCATTTGTGAACTTCCCCCTGGTAGTACTCCTTTCAATCATCATGAGAGCTCAAATTAAGTCATTCCTCAATGCTCCTTTCCTAAACTCCTCCCTGAAGCCACCTATAAAACTTGTAGAGGTGAAACAGAATTTACTCAGCAGATTATTGACCCCCTTTTGCTTTTTAGGACACAGTGTCTCCTGAATTCTTGGTCATTAGAAATCATCAGCCTGTTGACTCTACAAGTACTCACCATGCTAGAAAATCCTGTTTCTGCCTCATGCCATGCAAAGTCTGACTGGATGTTACTTTGACCTGAAAAACAAGAAACAAAGTAGGTTTGTGGCCAAACCTTGAGCTGCTGACTATATCTGCATCAGGAAAAGGTGCATCTCTAGCAATCACAAATTATATTTAAAATATGTCTTTTCTTGGTCAGATCCTATAAATCAGGGCAGTTCAAAAGAGCTGAATTTAATTAGAAAGCACTTGTCCCAAATGTCATAATGACAATCATGGAAATTCAAGTTTAATGAAAACCAGAAAGGAGCTAACAAATAGTAGCAACTATACGTAACCAGCTTCGGAAACAGATAACAGAAGTAAGAGTTGGTGAGGAACCGTTGAAAAAAAAAAAAAAAAAACAAACCAAAACAACCCTACCTTCCAGTAGACAAAAACTATCAGAAGTGTACATTGGTATAAAAACAAATGCATCAATCTATGAAAACATCTGTAATAATCAGACTGTCCATTAGGACATTCATAGGGTAAAATCTGTCAACAATAATACAGAAAAGGTAGATGTTTCTTATCATTATTTCTGCTCTGGAATGCAAGATGATGTATACCATATCCTAGCTTAACACAAACAACTCAGACTGTTGTTTAAATAGTACCCCAGAGCCCTACAAGATGTCTGAAAATCTGATTGCCACCACTCAGTTTCTGCAAATCATTGAAAAACAAGTTACATAGGTGAGAGAGAAAGCTGATCTCTAGAAGTACAAACAGGACAATCCAGAACTAAAAGCTCAACACCTGTCCGAAGGTGGGAAAGGGAACTCTCTTTTTGCACCAGGAGGGAGGACATTCCAAAAGCAGCTGCCACCCAGGCACCACCTGGCAGCCCATCCATCACACTCTTGACAAACTCCTCGGGTTTCCAGGAACCCACAGGCACTCCACAGGCCTCCACAGCCACTGACTGCTCAGAACAGCTAAGTCAAAGGTGGCAAAGTTCTGTTCACAGATGAACACTGAGCTGGGAGGATGCTGAGCTGCAAGATAAAGTTCAATATCAGTGCAGTAGGGCACTGGGACAAAATAATCTCTCAAATATTTGGAGACAATAGCCAGGAAATAGCTAAAATACCTCTAAGTGTGTACCATGGAAAACTTTATTAAAAAACAGGAATAAGTTTAGGAGTCATTAAGAAATTGGGAGGGTTTGCAAGAAGAGATGAAGACACAATAAAAATGTTACTTATGGCCTCTGACTAGAATTTCTCTGCTAGTAAATAAAAAATTGTGACATAATAGTGATAGAACTCCAAGTCAAAGCAATTTTAATTTAAAAATGTTTGGATTAAGTAAACACAACTGTAGCTTAATCTAATATGGATACAATCAGAAAACCACAGTTAAGATGGTAAATTTGCCGTTTTTTACTCCATCTAACTTACAGGAAAACCAGCAGAACATTTCAGGATAAAGACAGAACATTCTCGAAGAACTAGATGATTGTTACTTTATGAATTAAAAGTGTTTCTATTCCATTCCTTGAGATTTTATCATGTAAATCAAGTAGAAATGGGTGACTGAACATGCCAAAAGACTTAACTATTACAGTGTTTGCTTAAGCAAATACTCTGATACCTGTCACTAGTTCAAATTTAATCTGGTCCCAGGGTTAGAAAGCAGGTCATGGTAAGCTATGTTTGCCATTTTGTTGTGAAACTTCAAGGCATTTTCATACCGAGGACACATGAAAAAATTTCCAGGCCATCTGACTTCACTGTTACCTCTTGGCTGCTACAGGATTCCAACATATTTGCCTTTTTTTGAAGAACGCAAGCACTGAAGGATAATTTAGTCCTTTAATTCTTACAGAACTTAGGGACAGTTTCTCTAAATGAGCCTGAAAGAAGTGCCAAGTTTTAATTTCACTATTACATGCAAACCTGAACCGGAGCTTAGTAGAAAGCCCCACAGTTCTGGTGTTTGAGATCTAAAAGCACTGTCAATTTTCTTTCCTGTTGCAAGCTCATCAGATTTCAAGCACATGTCCATGTTTATAAAGCAGTTGAGCTGACCCAACACAAATGAATAGGTGGAAAGCCACAGGAAACCAGAGCACTACCAATTACTTGCAATTGAATACTATTTCTGAGAGAGACAATACAAGACGCTGATGAAATCTAGATAGTTGCTCTTGGAGCCGTGTGTGCTGGCTGGCGAGATCTGAGCTTTCCTTTCAGATTGCAGCCGTCCCCCAGCTGACCTGCTGCTGGCTAAGAGTGACTCAAGCAGGAGCAGCACTGACAGCCCAGCCCTCCCGGTTCTGCAGCTTGGGACTCACGCTCCTGCTCCCGGGGAGGCACCTCAGGGCTCCCCTTGGAGCTCCGATACGTGCTGCTCCACAGCACCTCTCCTTGCATTCAAAGCAGCCTCACACCCACAATGCCTCAGGAAAATCTCAGTTTCAGCATTAACAATGAAGAATTAGTTAAGAAAGCAGAGAGAGGAAGCACATTAACGATATCTTCTACTTTGGATCTGGAAGAGTGGAGTGCATTTGCTGACTAACAGTGGTGATGGGATAGGAAGGCAGCTGGCATCTCTGTGAGGGAGGAGACAGTTCCCGAGTGATGCTATGGGCAGTATAGGAAAAGCTGTGCATTGTCTGTCAGGGATCTGACTCCCACTGCTTCCACAGCTCCTTTCCCTCCTGGCTAAAATGCATGTTTAATATGATGAGCCTGGAACACTAAAGAAGAATTAATCAACAGCTAGAGATCTCTGGCTAAAAGCGTTAAATACCAATGGAAAAAATCATAGTATTTGTGCAACCCTGAAATGGAAAATCTCAAATACGTAAGTCCATTTGTAAAAAAGTAAATGCATATGGGCCTGATGTTCCCCTTCCTGAGATTCACACACATTGCCCAGAGAGCAGAAAGCAGTTTTTGTAAAAGCCCTCTGCTGACAGAGGATGAGGACAGAAGACCAGCCTCCCAGGAAAAGGCATGCATGTGGACAGGATAAGAGACAGCCCTTCCAACACTTTTTGATTGAATTTCCTGAAGAAACTTTTACACGGTGAAGATTCATGGATCTCTCCAGGTTTTCTGGAGTCAAAGGCATGCAGACGCCCAGGAGTAGAATCTCCCAATGCTATCAACTGCAAAAGAGGTTCATTTTTTTCCCAATTATCTTCTGTAAGGGAAGACTTGACTAGACAAGACTACTCCCTCTTATTTACCTGTTTATGATCAAAATTTCTTGTCAGCTGCTAGTCAAGCACTCCACAAGTCTTCAAACACCCTTCACCTCATGCCTCAACTACCTCCACCCTCACCACAAAACAGAGTGACTCAAAGTCTGCCCACACAGATCATGGCCTAGACAGCTGCTGATCAGGATGTGGAGGATTCAGCCACATCCTGAAAATGGAAAAGGCCAAAAAGTGGGACAGACAGGATGGCACTGACAGGCATGTGAGTCAGAACACAAGGGAGAAATTAAGATATTGTTGATAGCATGAGGAGCCTGGAGTTAACAGGGAGCCTAATTGCTAGACACATACAGAATGGTGAACCAGGATAAAATCCCTCCTCAGCAGAAGCTTTAACATTCTCTCAGGACACATTCCCGAGCAGAGTCTCACTGGGGTTATTTACACAGGACCAGTTTGAACAGCTTTCTAAGACTACCCATACAGGAAAGAAGGCTTCAGAGAATCTTTTGTGATTATTAGTTATGTTAGATCAGACTGGACCTTTGTCTCTCTGTTAACTTTTTGAGTCAACTCCATGGGTCACCAGGCCAGAAAACCCAACACGAAATGCAGTCTAGTGTTTTGTTAATAATATACTTTATGTTTGTTCATGTTCTTTAATCATATGGTTTTTGCTCTGTGGAACATCTCGTCTCTCTGGCCTAGGCCAGTTCAGAAGATGCTTTGGACTGAATCAAGACATATATTTTTGCCTTGCTCTGGAAACCCTATGTCAATCTAAAACCAATCATTAGAGTTTATATTACTGTATTACAGTCAGAATTTACAAAGCACTTCAATGCTTCTCCCTCTGCCCCATTTGTGTAATATCCAATGGATAAACTATTGAAACTGTGTCAGCATACTCAGGGGGATGGAACAGGGGACAAGGACAGACCCACAGAAGACACAAAAAAACCAACCTATGCAACAATAAAAAAAAGGCCCCTCGAGATTTCCAGGTCCCAAAAATATGAATAAACTCTGTAAATCAAAAGCTATACTATCGTGGAGTTACATTTTACAATAAGAACCAGCAAATAAATGTATTGGACAGATGCTATTTCAAACCAAATGCACATATTATTTGTAACAAACAAATATTGTAACATAGAGGAACCAGGACTGACCATCAGGAATTTACAATAAAGTATTTTACAGGGAAATTTTAGGCCAATTAACCAATAATTAGCAAAATTACTGCAAAACAATTTATCCATTCCAAGACTAAGTGCTGTTGTTTATAATGTTTAGCCATGTTCCTCACATAATGTTTGATTCCTGTCTTACAGGCAATATTCAAGTTAGTCTTCACTGTGGAACAGGTACAAATATGTCCTTACTATTAACTCTCATGCTGGACATCAGCCATAAAATAGCATAGCTGCTTATTGCTGGAGATCCACTATTAAATGGAATTTGTGGTTTTAATCTTTCATCAAACATTGGATTAAATCTGCACCTTTGTATAAGAATGAGTATATAATCCTCATAAGAAACTCCTTATCCTACACAAAAATAACTAAATATTTGATTACTGGTTTTCTGAGCAACATTTTTTGTTGTTCTGGTGGGGACAATACTACTTCTACATATTTAAAAAAGCTAATGCTAATTACCGCACACAGCGTTTCCAGTAAGAATGCTGGTGCGCCGATGCTGGGGCCATAATGTGAAGGGATCTGCTGATGCAGTGCAGCGCTCCTAAGGACTTTTGTCCTTTAATATGGAAATAACATACGTATTTTATCTATCCCAAAATTTGCACTTAGGATGAACATTAATGAAACTATATTTTTTGGAGCCAAATGAATTGAATGAATGCCATTCAAATTGACGCAACTGGATGTGACCCTGAGGCAAACTCTTGTTGCCTCTGTGCATGTGTGTGTTTGCAAACTGAGCTCCTGAAACACATTAACTACAAGGCATTTTTAGTGCATATAGTTTGCTATAGAGAGGCATGTACTAGAACAGCTACTAGGAGTGGACATCTCTCCTGGCCACCTAATTTTGTTCTGCTAATGCTGCACTTGTGTCAGTTTGATTTTGTAAACTGACTTCTACCTGACCTGCCCCCCACAGGAAAAGGATGCTCTTTTGACCAGGGAGGAAGTATTGAACACATACCACACAGCTTGTCATGCTGCCATTTTCATAGAAAACAGAGTTTATTGATCTGTCAAAGAAAGCAGCTCTGGGAGTAGCAGAATTAGTGGAACCCAAATTTAAATGGATTTTGCAGCTCCTGCCTGATTTACAATTCTCTGTTGTCCTCAACTCATGCCAGTACAATTCTCTTACACTTCCTGTCAGCAACAGGCTCCTGTGTAACAACAGACCAGCTGCCACACTTGCTCAGAGAAGCCAGTTGACAAAAAGTGTGGAAAGACAAATCTGACAAAGTTTGACTCAGAGCGTTCTTGCACAACAGCTCCCTATCTTCCAAAATGTATATGAAAGTATATCTGAGACTACATCTCAGTTTGCTAGAAATTGTCATAGATGGGATGCTACTTATCCTCACCAAATGCTCGAACCCCTCTAAAAGGTAGTTTTGAGGAACAAGAAACACGAAATTATGACATTCAAAATATCTTACTTTGTCATTAACCTTATTTTTCCAAGCAATGCTCTTAGCACAGAAATTAAATAGAACTAAGTATTACACCTTAATCGCTAATTATTAGGCAAATATTAGGACATATAAAAATGCTAAATAGGTGGTTTGAGAACTCATTACTTGTTATTCAAGTGAATAATATTCATTGAGGGAAAAAAAATTTCTCTTACACAAACTGAGTTCTCATTTCTAGTAAAAACCTTCTCCTGTTAACAAGAGAAAACTGAAACTAACATCCCCTTCTTTCCCTCTTGGTATCTCATAATTTCATTTCATGGAAATTCAGGTAGCATTGACATGTCTATATACCTTTGAAGAGTAAAAGACCAGTATAAAGCCCACTCCCAGAAACTCAATGTTTTCCTTAAAGCCTAAGTTACAGTTATGGAACTGGCAGTCTGCGTCCCAGTTGAAAGTCCTGTTACAGCCTGTACAATAGATACTTTCCATCCTGAGCCTATATGCCTGCAGCTGCTGTGAAAATTTCATAACAGTAAAGCTAACTGAAGAAATATACTCAGAACAATACTCTTGTCCATAAGGCATTATTTAGGCTTACATAAAACATCTGATAGCATATTTAAATTGCTGTTCTTTTTTAGAACTGCAGGAGACAGAACAAAGAAATGGCTTTTCTAAGAGTCCCACAAAAAGCAAAGTAGAGGTCCTCGGGGCAGCACAGAGCAGCTGTTCCTGGTGAGAAGCTGCATATACATACAGATGACTGACTTGCTGAACACTGGGAAAAAGACAGGATTAAAAAAAACCCTTAAACATCACAAGTTGAATAACACCTGGGCTTGTACATACCTTCTGTCCTCTCCAGGAGAAGAGGTGCAGGAGAGGATAGTCTCTCTTTTATTTCCTTCCCACCTCTACACAGTTCTGCAACCCCAAACCCCTTCCCCTGTCCCAGTATCAGCAACTCTGTACAAGGTTCATGGGGAGGCAAGACCTTTATCTGTCTCTTGTACTGCCTTCATATTTTGAGATTCCAAAAGGTTTCTGCAACTTCGCTTGAAAAGCTACACACACTTCAAACTTGTACAGAGCTAAATTTTTTAAGTAACAAAACTTGTCTGACAGGTGGATCTTGAAAAAGAAAATAATTAGAATTTAAATCTTGAGAAGATTAATGGGATACTCTGCTGTGATCAGACACCACAGAGACCTGAAGTTTTACACAGTCACTTATGAAGGCAAAGAACAAGTGTGAGCTGGATAAAATCCTCAGGAAGAAACCCAGACATTGTTTACAAATTTCAAATGACAAAATAATTACCTCACAGTAAGAAGCACTAGTATCAAATCATCTTCATTTTTCCAATACTGTGCCTTTGGAAGTACTGAATTAAATACTCTTCTTCAAGAGGGTTTTTTGGTTGGTCAGGGTTTTTTTCATATATATACACATATATAAAATATATGTATGTATGTATGTAATGAAAGTTCTATCTTTGATCCTGACAGTTTTCAAGTAGTTTTTCTGGAGAAGCTGGAGACAACCCAAAAGTTCAGCAGTAATGCTATCGTATGTCAAAAAAAAAAAAAAAAAGCCTGGAGTCGCACCTACAAAGCTCTTTATTAGAGAAGTAAAAAATTATTTTTACAATACCACCTTTAAACCTCTTGTACTTGAGACAGATCTAAGAAATCTACCTCAGCTTGGAATGAAGAGTCATGACAGTGTCATGAGATCAAGGAAAAAAGTTTGAAGTTTCTTTGTACAAGAAACACATCTCAGCAATTCCATTCTGGAATTGTTCTATCAGTAAAAAATATTATGTCATATTCAACCCTCATGGCAGGACTTTGAAGATTTCAGTACTGCAAATCGATTTCCTCTGCTATTTTTGAAAGGGCTCTGACCATGGGTGATCTTCGGCAGCCCTGCTGCATCCAGGACACTTCCACTGACCAAGGCACACACTACTTGTATTTCTGCTTAGACTTGGATCTTGCCCAATGAAAGGCCTGGCTTTCTTCCACCGCAGCTCTATTAGCATTGCAAGCAAAGAGAATTTATGCAGAGTAAAGGGACTGGCATTCCTTCTACAATAGGGCCAATTGTCTCAGGCTGCCACATTCAGTTAAATGTTTACTTTGTTGTTTCACAACTCAACAGGAAAGAAAGGTCAGACAAGCCCTACTGCAGAACAAAGATGATGTCATTCATCTATTCACCCCAAGCCAAGATTCCAGTGGGAGACTACTGCTTTCCAGTTTTTTTTCCTGTCTCTCCAGGAGACAGACACAAGTAAATTAACACTCCAGCAATTCTGCCAGTCTGATTCCATATTCTAGAAAAAACATTAGATGTCAGAGTATTCTATCGAGATCCTGAAAGAGGAATATTGCCAGGATTTGTTCACCAAGCCTGGTTAATTGAGAAAGATTATTCTCTTGAGACTACCCTTGAATACCATCCTTTTTGGCACACTCGAAAATGAGAGCTAAAGCAAAGACAGAGCCATGCAGAGTTTCCTGTAACACAAAACTCTCTGCTTGAAGTGGTGAAGACCCTACTCAGATTCAGAGTCCTTCAGAAACTGCACTCTGCCAGCACAAGGTTAAAATAAGAACAACTGTTTAACAGGAATGAGACTGCTATTCTTGACTTTTTATGAACAGATAACCTGCAGTTTTGTTCTCAGTTGATGAAGTATGAATGCACGCAGACAGACACTTGGCCACCTACGCCATTAAAAATAGCCAAAATCTTCCTTAAACTATGCATATTTTCTTTCTCTGTTCAATTAACACAGGGAAAGAAACAACAGATTACACAATGAAAACCTGTCACAATAGTAATCAATCTATTACTGTCAAGAAATACACATGGGTCAAATAAACATAATGTAATTTTCAACTAATGGAAAAGATGCTTTGAGCCTGTAAAGAAAACATGGATTATTTAGCCCTGGCATGAATAACTCCTGCTTTGATGAAATTTGGACCACATTGTTTCTGATGGTCTCAGCAGCCAGATGACTGTTGAGACACTGCCTTGGATGGGGTAGGTCATACCCCAGCAACACCTGTTTTTCTCCACTGACTGATGAGGAAACCAAGATAACCAGCTCCAAAGCAGAAGTTTATATTTGGACAGGCAAATCCTTCCTGCTTTTTCTCTTCCTGAGCACAGCATGCAGTTCACAGGTTCAACAATAACTCTAGGACCTGAAGAGACTGGTGTGCCTGCAGAGTCTGGGAGATTTCAGCTTCCTGAAAGACTATAACCTCAAAACCAAAACACCAGACCTTTTCTGGAATACACAGGGAAATCCCAAATTGGGGAGGAGGAAGGGAATGACAAAAAACCACCACCACAGCTAATGGAGCAGACAGGTATTAACCAAACCTTCCACCTTCTGCTCACACAAAGTAAATAGTACTTGTTCTATAGCTGGTTAAAAGCATGGGATGAGCAACCTGTACAATCTTCCAAGATGACAAGCATGTATTCAACCCCCAGACTCCTTAAAGAAACTACAAAATCTATCATTGACCTAAGGCAGCAACAGGATTTGACTGGAGAAGCACAGATTTCTCGAAAACTGTCCAGTCTATAAACAGTCGGCCACATAACTCAGTGATGCACAGAAAATCCCTGGAGACGACTCATAACTCCTCCTCACAAAGCTGACGGGAACATTCCCGGGCCAGCTATTCCGGCCACAAGTACTCTTCTAGTCACTGGATAAGAACTTTGTCATTCACAGCAACCTGTACCAGTGAAGTCCTGGCTCCTCTAAGTGACTAAGCAAAGATCAGGTTTTTACAGACCAGACCGGATCAGACAGACTAGGCTTTTCACTTCAAAATGGTCAGAAGTCTTCAAATAATCTCCAAGTTCATATATGACTGTGGGTATATTTTGTCAAGTCAGTAGGATTTTCATTCCCACGTTAATACTGTCATGTAAGCAAAGAAAACATTTTCCTATACAAACTATCTTATATCACATACTATCCTAGCCAAACAGCATTTTAAGTTATATTTGGAGACTGAAACACCATCACTGATGACTTGCAAATGGGTAATAGAATACAGAGTGCTATTATATTACTAATATTACTATATTACTATTATTATATTACTGTATTCCATTCTAATTCCACCAAATCGCTCTCAGTTTTATTTTGTAACTGAGATGCGACAGGGCTATTACGGTACTGCATTCATAAATTCGTAATATGTAAAAAAAGTACTGACCTCCTGTCACAGAGATAATACAAGCAGATTTAGAATTTTGCTCATAGTGTCACCACAGATAACATACAACACGAAAGATATTTCATTTCTCTTCGAAGTGACTCAGATAAGACCATGACACAATAAAAAATTTGTCAGCAAGATTTCTTGGAACATTGGATATCTGCCATTTTACTCAAGAATTGCATGTATCTCAGTCTCCTGGCTAACACAGAATTTAAACAGGAACAAACATCCTCAGTGGTTTTTAGAAGATACTACCGTATTTTATTCTAAAAGCCACAGGGACAAGCCCTCTGCTTTATATACTTATGCGTGTGTTTCATTTGGCTGACTGTAAATACAGCTTTTCAGAGCTGAATGTTACAGCTTAATGACACCAAGTAAACAGTAGTGGCTCATGCTCTCACAAAAACAGGTGGTCAGAAATGAACTGTGCTCCATTAGGAGACTGCCCCTCATCTTTTGAACCTTCTCAGAAGGGAAATTTGAGAGCATGCAGGAGTAGCAGCACAGACAAACAAATATATTTTGTAAAGAAGAAACCCCACCTCTGCAGAGCACAGAGATCTCATGCTCATCTTACAGTGCAGACACCATTAAAATGAAGAGTGCAGTAGGGATCCCACTTCTAGCTCTCTGGAAATTCAGGCTCTGATCCAAAGCCTAGGTGTGCAGCCTGGACTCTGTTGTGCTGAGACTGCTGTTAAGATGTAAGAAAGTGTACAAGTTTTACAGGGTCAAATTGTGGACAAAGATGTAATAATCGAGACATGAATAACAGTCTAATGATTCAAGGAAAGAAATACTAACATAAAAAGGTAACATAAAGCCAAAAAAATCTAACAAGAAAAAGAGAGCAAAGAAATTTCAGGTTTTGTATGAGTTCTACTCTCTGTGAGGTCCCAGTGCTCCTGTAGATGTTCATGCAACTGCTCTTCTCCCTTGATTACAATTCACTAATATCCTACCACAGTCAGAGAAAAGCACTGGCATGAAAATGATTGCCATACATCTTCCTTTATAGTCCTTCAGATGATTCATAAGCAATTATTTAGAAGTCAATAAAATTGTTCATCTATGGGGATGAGTCAGAGAATTAGGAAGTGACTCATATTTCAGACTATCTATGTGGTCCTCAGAGTCTTTTGTCAGGATTCCTTCAAGATCAAAACTATTTCTAAGACTGATTACTTTGTGACACAAGCACTGTTGTCGACTGATTAAAAATATATTATGATAAGGAGAGAGGTGAGGCTCAGCGTGCTGAAGACAAACACACACACTGTTTCACTGGCCATATTTACTTTTATACACACATGATGGACATATTTCCAACAGCCTATTGCCACACACTTGAATGCAAATAACAGTTATCTGATGTTAGACCAGTAAATAAACCCCCACACTGTTATGTTTACAAGCATAAACACTCAAAATTATTTATTACAAAAATGAATATTATCTATCAGTTACTGACACCTAGGAATGAATATGGCAAAATATTTTTAAAATTCTACCTACACCTGGTAAAGGGCTTTCAGGCACCTTATTAGCTCGGTTTGGGTTTTTGTTTGGTTTTATGTTCTGTTGGTTGGTTTGGTTTTTTGTTTGTTTGAGGTTTTTTATTTGGGCTTTTTTTCCCTCAGAAACTTAACTGAGTACTAATAAAGGCATATCTATGTTAAACTTCTTTCTGGATGCT